CTTCGCTATGCCCCTGGGGCCAGCATCTCCACGGAGCCCCCCCCCCCCCCCCCGGGGCCCGTGCCCCCCCCGCGCCCCCCCCCCCCCCCGCCGTGCCCCTGGGGCCAGCATCTCTGCACGGCTAGCAGCTGGGGCTCACGAGGGCCCAGGAGACACCACCCCGTCCGTCTCCAGCATACAATGGGGCTCCATTACCTTCTGGCTCCAGGCTCAGGGAAGCACCTCTGTGCCCCTGCTGCCCATTAGTCCCAGCATCCCCCAGGGCCTACCTGCAGGCTGTGCCCTCTAGGGAGGGTGCCGGGTCCCCACAGCTCATCAGCTCCCATCTGGCGAGGGCTGGTGATCCTGCAGATCCCCGGCTCTCGCAGCGGGAGAGTCTCAGCTTTCAGTGAAAACAGAATTTCTAGCCATGGTGTCTGCGGGAAGCACTGGGGAAAGTCACCCAAATGATCCCCTCTCCCCATGGGCCTCCTGCCAGGGGGCCAAGGAACGGACCCAAAGGGAGCCTTGGCCTTGCTCCTGGTTCTAGGGACCTGGCTCATCACTCGGGACCCTCTCTCTGTGTCACAGTGCAGTTATGCAGACCCTTGCTTCCCGGGCGCCAAGTGCATTAACACCGCGCCTGGCTTCCGCTGCGAGCCCTGCCCTCACGGGTACAAGGGGAACCTCATCTCTGGCGTGGGCGCAGACTATGCCAAGGCCAGCAAGCAGGTGAGTGCAGCACCTCCACGGCCCTGCTGCCGGCAGCTCCGTGCAGCTGGGAGCCTCTGGAGAGCGCAGGAGGCGGGTGAGGCTGGGAGCGGGTTCCTCGAACAGGCTCTGTGCCCAGCCTGTGGCAATGGGTGCTGTGGGGATACGTAGCCTTTGCGGGGGGTGTCTGGGGAGACGCTGGGCCCAGGGTCGCGTGATGCTGCTGCAGGACAGTACGAGGCAACGGGCTGAGTGATGGTCTCCACCTGCTGGGCCTCGTCTCCCCGCAGCAATTCCAGAGGGGCGCCTGCAGGGAACACTCAGCTGGGGAGGGGCAGATTCCCTCTGGGCAGAGGGTACTGCAGTGTAACTGGGGGGGCATTATGCTGTCGATGGGCCCTGAGCCGGGCCCAGCCCAGGAACTCCTTGCCCCTGCGTGCTCAGAAGCACCAGTAGGAGCCGCAGGCAGGGAGAAGCCAATGAGTGCCTGAGTTTGAGGCCTGTGAGTGCAGGGTGAGGCCTATAGCTACGTGCCCTGGGACCCCTGAGAGCAGGGAGGGTTGAGGGCCTGCAGAAGCCAGGCAGGGCGTGGGGTCCCTGTGGTGTCGGGGTGGAGGGGTTCCCTGTACGTGCCAAGGATGGCGTTGGGTTGCTGTGGTGCCAGGAATGGAGTGGGTCCCTGTGGTGCTGGGAGGGGGGTGTCCCTGTGGTGCTGGGGCGGGGGGTGCAGGTTCCCTGTGGTGCTGGGGGGGCGGGGGTTCCCCGTGGTGCTGGGCTGGGCGGGGGTTCCCCGTGGTGCTGGGGGTGTCCCCGTGGTGCATACCTATGTTAGGGAAGGCACAGGGTCCCCAGGGGCCCGTGCCACGGAGTGACCGTCTCTCTGGGCTGCTGCAGGTTTGTACAGATATTGACGAATGTAACGATGGCAACAATGGCGGCTGCGACCCGAACTCCATCTGCACCAACACGGTGGTGAGTAGCACCTGCCCCCTTGCCTGTACCGAGTGGCCTGGGCTGGGGCTGCCTGGACGCGTCTCACCTGCTCCGTCCCATCTCCCTGCAGGGCTCCTACAGGTGCGGGCCGTGTAAGGCTGGGTTCCTGGGGAACCAGACGCTGGGCTGCGTCCCACAGAAATCCTGCAGCAGCCCCACCCACAACCCCTGCGACATCAATGGCTACTGCATGTTCGAGCGGAACGGCGCCGTTTCCTGTGCGGTGAGAGCGGGGGGGGGCAGAGCCAGGGCAGGGCCCAGTGAGGGGGGGGGGGGGGGGGCGGGGGCGGGGCCCGGGGGGGACGGGGGGGGGTGGGGACAGACACGGCTGGCTGCTCCCTGTGGGTCTCTTCCCCCCATGACGGCTCCCGCTTTCCCCACCTCTCCCTCCAGTGTAACGTGGGCTGGGCCGGGAACGGGAACGTGTGTGGGCGGGACACGGACATCGACGGCTACCCGGACGAGCCGCTGCCCTGCATCGACAATGACAAGCACTGCCAGCAGGTGAGGGACTGGGACCAGGGGGGCTGGTGTGGGGGACCCAGCCCCGGGGCGAGAGCGGCTGGTTTGGGGGACCCAGCGGGGAGGGTCGGGGCGACCCAGCCCTGGGGTCTGGAGGGTCAGGGGGACCCAGGCCCTGGGCGAGAACAGCTGGTGTGGGGGACCCAGCCCTGGGGCAAGGAGGGTCGGGGGACCCAGCCCTGGGGTCTGGAGGCTGGCCGTGGGACCCTGCCCCTAGGAGGGGTGCAGCAGGGAGAGAAATGGGGGTTCCCGGTTCCAGGCTGGTTGGAGGCGGGGGCTGCCCTGGCTCTAACGCGGGTTCCCCACTCCAGGACAACTGCCGGCTGACGCCCAACTCCGGGCAGGAGGACGCTGACAATGACGGCGTCGGAGACCAGTGTGACGATGACGCGGACGGGGACGGCATCAAGAATGTGGAGGTGCCGTGGTGCTGCGCCCTGGGCTCTGTCCCTGGCACTTGGGCTGGGGGGGGCAGGCGCCGCACAGGCCCCCTGCCATGGCGCCCAGGGAGCGGGGCTTTCTGCTTGTGGTGGGCTCTCAGCCGAAAGCCCCACTGATGGCACCTATGACGGTGTCCCCTGGCATGGTGGGTTCAGGATCTGTCCTTCACCTCCCTCCCCCGGCTGGGATGGGGGTCTCTCCCCATTCCCCCTCCCAGTGACGGGGTCTCTCCCCATGCCCCCATTGCAGTGATGGAGTCTCTTCCCATTTTCACCCCCATCCCGGCTGTGGGGGTGGGTCTCTCTCCCTGTCCCCCGGCTGGGATGGGGGTCTCTCCATGCCCCTCCACAGCAGAGATGAGGGGGTCTCTCCCCATCTCCCTCAGTGATGGGGGTTTCTCTCTCTCTCTCTCTCTCTCGCAGGACAACTGCCGACTCTTCCCCAACAAGGACCAGCAGAACTCAGACACTGACTCCTTCGGAGACGCCTGTGACAACTGCCCCAACGTACCCAACAATGACCAGCGGGACACGGACAGCAATGGTGAGGGGGATGCCTGCGACAACGACATCGACGGGGATGGTGAGTGAGGGGAGCTGGGGGCTGGCCCGGGAGGGGGCTGGGGGCTGGGCCATCAGGAGGCCTGGGGTCTGGGCTGGGCGGGGGTGGGAGGGGCGGCTCGCTGGAGGCCTGGGGGCTGGCCCGGGGGCTATGTTGGGCAGGGGCTCGTGGGCAGTGCCCATTCACACACACACACTGCTGTCCCTCAACAGGGATCCCCAATGTTCTCGATAACTGCCCCAAGGTGCCCAACCCGCTGCAGACGGACCGGGATGAGGATAGCGTCGGGGATGCCTGCGACAGCTGCCCTGAAATGAGCAACCCCACTCAGGTATGGGGCCGGGCGGCACTGACCCTGCCATGCTCGCCCCTGGCTGCCGGGCCACAGGCTACGTCGACTGCTGCTCCGAGCTAGAGGGCACCACGGACTGTCTAGTCTGGTCTCCCGCACACTTGGGGCGCGTGGGTGGGCAGAACCGGCAGGGCTGGGGGCGGGAGTCCCCATTACAAATTCACAGGGGTGTGCTGCCCGGCCCTCGTACAGAGCCTCGAGGGAGGAGCCATGGTTCTCTGCCAAGCCCGCAGCTCGGGCTTTCCCGCGGGTGAGCTTTGCAGTCCCTGGCTCTGAGACTGCGCTGTCGGGCTGCAGCCCCCACCCCTGGTTCTCGCCACGGGCTCCCAAGGGCGAGTCCAGCTGAGCTCAGACTCCTGCTTCAGGGCTTTTTCTCCTGGAGGGGGCAGCGCACCCAGCGAGTAGCTGCAGCCTGGTCAGAGCAAGCCAGCGTTTATTAATCACCTGGAATCCAGCACTGGCAAGCGCAGGTCAGCATGGGGAAGCCAGGCTGCAGACACAGCCAGAGCTGGGCGAGGAAACTACCCCGATACCCCAGGCTCTTCTGGGATCCATTCTGGGGCTCCCCTGCCCCGTCCTCGGTAGCAACCTTAACAGAGACCCCTCACATCTCGTGGCCTGGTGCTGTGTCCCCCTCTTCCCCTGCCTCGGCTGCAGGGGTTCACAGCTAATGTCCCAGTCGGTTGCTGAGGCTTTTGTTCTCTCCATTCATACGTGGACCGTCCTTGGTAGTTCATTCACACCTGCCTAGGGCCTGCACATGCGCCTCCAGCACCCGGCTTCTATTTCTTTGTCCCACTGAGTGCTGTCACGGACTCACAGATCGTGCCCATATTGTTCAATAAAATGTTACCAAAAATTTA